TAATTATTAATTTTATAAAAATCTAATTTAATAATATACTAATGAGTAATTAGCCCGTTGGTGACATTACAGAGAACTTGGTCCTCTGCCCTGGTATATTCAAGACCTTTTAATACGCAAAGCTAAACTTCGAAATACTCGATCGAGTTTATTGCATTAACAAATTATTAATAATTGTAATAACGAATTAATCTTTCTCTTTCAAGTCTTAAATTGCAGTTTGCTATTTAATTTGCTAGTTGCGAGCTAAACTAGCCTTGGTCCGTGCAACTTCTACTATCAAGTTAAGTTGATCCTGTTTAAGATCAACTAAGATCAACTCAACTGCTTAGTTGCACGGACCTGCAACTGTAAGCCAAACACACCTTAAGTACGCCAAACGGCTAGCGTTCCATCTCTTTCCTGAATTACTACGGTATATGAGAGGCGGCTGCGGGAGCGGCCGCATCACATGACCTCGGATGGCAAAGCACAACCCGACCCACAACCCAACCTAACCAACCGGGCAACCAGAACCGTAACAATATTACATTCAAGAATCGATTTTAAGCCTGCTCATGAGTATTGATACTTGAGCATATCATTCAAATCATAAAGATCCTTAGCAATCCACGTCTTCTTGAACTTGCAGCGAAGATAAACAGCTCTTGAATTACCATCTGGTCCTGATGTATAATAAACCACGCGTATAGCTTAGCACTGTATACATTCGCTTTTGCTACAGGATGATACGTGTAGCTGAGAGTGCAATTGAACCTGGAGGGTTGATACAATTGACTATGATCACTCTGTCTGACTCTTATGTATACAATCCCCACAGACCCAGTGCAAGCTCCATGCCATATGCCTCCCTACTTCACAAATTCGGTCGGTGCTGAATAAGGTGTCAACTTGTACATGAGCATCATGGCTTGTCAACTTACGCGTTAAAATCGGAGCCGGAAGGTTTCTTTCGAATTTAGATCCTATGTAGCCCACCACGTCAACTAATGTGATTCTTCTGTGACCGGATCACCCCACGCAAGACTAACCTCCGGGAGCTGTTGGCGCATGGTACGGATCCGGGTGCTTCCATGCTTCCAGTAATCCCTCTGCTTCTTGGAACAAAGCCTGTAGGCTGTTAGTAAGATTTCCCTCCTTACTCGTTCTCCTCATTTGGCGAGACTTTCCCGCTGTTGTCTGGGGTCCTTGATGTTTTTATTCGCCTCGAACAATGACCTGATATACAGCGCCTGACCCCTCCAGAGATACCGGTGGACTGCCCAGTCCAGTGACAGCTTTAAGGAACGTCGGTACAGTGACCTGTGGCAGACTCTGGTCAGTATGCGGAGCTTCAATCGCATAGCATGTAGAGGGGAGCGGCGTACGAGACTGCTTGCTTCGTAGACATCTTCTCGCGGAGGGATGGTAGGTTGTAGAAAACGCTTTCGGTGGCGGGCGGCCGGGCCTTCTCCAGCTACAGCTCTATGTCACCTCCGGCGGCTGATCGCAAGCCAGCTGGGTGTGGTTTTTTGGTAATCCTTTGCGTTGGATGTAATCGTAGATGTCCGTAGATGTAGAATGCGGATGTTGTGCCTTGCTGACTGCTCAGAGGTAGGAGGTAGCGTTGTTTATTAATAAGTAAGGCTGGGCTTGGCTGACTGGGAATGGGTGCTCGCTCTCGGCTGTGGGACAAAAGTTGCCGTTACTTACCATCCTTCCAAACATCCTTCGTCCTTCGTCCTTCGCTTTTCTTACTCTTCCCTCCTCTCCACACCACAACACAACACAACACAACTGTTCTCTGTCCGCCTGGCCCTGCGCCGATTACCCACGATGCTTTCAATCCGTGTCGCTTCGCGCTTCCTCAGGGCCAGACCCAGCCCTCCATTGCGACACCCTTTTCCTGCCATCGCCCAGCAGTTCCGATATTATGCAGACAAGGTCGTCCAAGTCCCGCAGATGGCGGAATCGATCAGTGAAGGAACCCTCAAGCAGTGGTCGAAACAGATTGGAGACTATGTGGAACAGGTCAGCAGTTCCAAATCCAAGGCGTGCTTTGGAACGAGAAGCTCCAAAGGAGCCATCTTGGTGGACAGCGGCGCTAACCTGCTGCGCAGGATGAGGAGATTGCCACCATTGAGACAGATAAGGTAGGCCTGCTGTTGCTTCCCTTCTTTTGCAGGCACTCACTCTACGTCTAGATCGATGTCGCCGTTAATGCGCCGGAAGCCGGAACAATCAAGGAGTTTCTTGCCAATGAGGATGACACAGTGACTGTCGGTCAGGATCTCGTGAGAATGGAGCTTGGAGAAGCACCCGAGGGTGGATCGAAAGAGAAGGCCTCCAGTGAACCAAAGGAGCCAGCATCCAAAGAACAGCCAACAAGCTCTGACCCGGATCCATCGAAGAAGGACGAGTCGAAGTCCGCGAGCTCTTCCCCTCCCTCTACAGAAAAGAAGCCAGCACCCAAGAAAGAGACGCCTCCTCCGCAACAACCAGTGCCAAAGACCGATTCCCAATCCGACTCTGCTCCTACACTTGGCAACCGGGAAGAGAGACGCGTAAGTTTGAGCCTTATTGGCACCCTTCGGTCTTGTACCTGACGGTCTTCTATAGGTTAAGATGAACAGGATGCGCCTTCGTATCGCCGAACGCCTAAAGCAATCTCAGAATACCGCTGCGTCCCTGACGACTTTCAACGAGGTCGACATGTCATCTCTGATGGAGTTCCGAAGACTGTACAAGGATGATGTTCTGAAGAAGACCGGGGTGAAGCTTGGATTCATGAGTGCTTTTTCGCGTGCCTCTGTTCTTGCAATGCGCGACATTCCGGCTGTCAACGCCTCTATCGAGGGTCCAAACGGTGGTGATACTATCGTGTACCGGGACTATGTCGACATCAGCGTTGCTGTTGCAACGGAAAAGGGGTTGGTCACTCCGGTCGTTCGTAACACCGAGACAATGGACTTGGTCGGTATTGAGAAGTCGATCGCTGAGTTAGGCAAGAAGGTAAGCAAAATTTATCCACCGTCACTGTGGGGTGTACGCTGATTAATGTATTACTCAGGCTCGTGACAGCAAGCTTACTATTGAGGACATGGCTGGAGGGACTTTCACAATCAGCAACGGTGGAGTATTTGGTTCGTTGATGGGAACTCCTATCATCAACCTTCCTCAGACAGCTGTTCTGGGCCTTCATGCTATTAAAGACAAGCCTGTTGTTGTCAACGGTCAAATCGTGATCCGTCCTATGATGTACCTGGCGTTGACGTACGACCATCGTCTCTTGGATGGTAGGGAAGCTGTGCAATTCTTGGTGAAGATCAAAGAATACATCGAGGACCCTCGACGGATGCTTTTGTAAGCTATTGATATTTTGGGCTCCGGATCCTGCTGCGCTTTTAGCCTCAGCTTGCATGCTGCGTTGTACAATAGAATAATACCTTGCATTCTGGGCATTTTGGTGTATCCAGAAATATCTGATCATTATGCGTTGTTAAAGCAAACTTCATCGCAGGTTTTCTTTTAGCTTTAAAGTGTATAGATATAATAGAACTTTTTATTATCATGTACGGTGATTGCAAATGTTTCGATAGAAGGTGTATAGCGATAACATGGCTAAGGTATATGATAGCTATAGGATATCTTCTACGGCTATTATGACTAGTATAATATTACTTCGAAAGCAGGTAAGGTGGTCAATTTATCGGACCTCTGGCCTTTTTCTCAAACAGACTATTGATGGATATTTTAAAATCTATACTAAATTCTATTCGGGAACAGCTTAGCTAATAAACTATCTTACTAAGAAAACCCGTCTGATATCTTAAAGGCAGGTAGGGGATCATTTGAGCGGTCCTGACCCTGTTTTATAAAAGACGGTTATTAGACCGTTTAAAATCGATACTAGTTATAAATAGGCTGCTCC